CCCAAAGGGCTGCCAGTCTCCAGGTGAATCTCCTGCAGTTCTGTCCTCCTCCCTACAGGCACTGCAGGACCACCGAGCATTGTCCTCCAGAGTTTCTCTGCCCACGCGCAGCACCTTCAGCATGCGGAGTTCAGATCCAACAGGCAGGGCTCGGCTGCTCCACGAGCTTCTCCAGAACACAGCCTGCGAAACAGGAACTTTGCAAGGTCAGCTCACACCTGACACGGCTGAACTGTAGCAAATATCGACGATTTAGGAAGCTCATTCACATTTTTAATGTGGAATTCCACATCTTTCTTCAACACAATATTAAACTCAGATCAAAAAGCAAAACAAAACTTAGATTTCCATGAAACTGGAGTTTTCTGGTTAGCTACCATCCGTTGTCCTCTCTCCAGCTTTTGCTTTCGGTGTGATCACTACTGTCAACACTTTCTCACTGTGTTTCTGTGCAGAGCAAAGCCAAAGAACTGACTGCGCCCCAAACAGTTAACTGCACCTCCACTGACCTTCCCTTCTTCCCGAGGCTTCTGTCTGCAAAGGTCTGAAGAACTGCTGGAATCAGGACTTTAATTTAGGTTGCTTCAAATGAAAATTACCGTTAGGTTTGTTTTCTTTATCACACATATGTGTGCGTGTGGGTAATGGAACAATTTTGCTTCAGCCTTTGCTAAAAAGTGGTCAACGAGGGCACAGCAAAACTTCCACTTGCATCAGATGGTGATGGGGCCCTGTGCTGACAGGTTTTACCAGATGCAAAAAACATCAGGTGCTAGCTCAGCTTTGCAGGAACAGGCAGATGTAATGAAGCAATAAGGCATTATGCAAATAAGCACACATTAAATTGCTCAAAGAAGCTGTGCTGCCTGCCCCATCTTCAAGTGCTACAAATCTGCTCATCGAGCATTATGGATAGTATTTGGAAATCCATTTTTCCTCCACCACTATCTGCCAGAAAGCAAAGACACCAAGAGTCCGAGAAGGAAAACATCTTACTACCTGGACCCGAAGAATTTGTGAAGGAAGGAGAAGGCTGGTGGCTGGTAAGTAACTTCGCTTCCTTTCGCCCTTCTGCAACATACACTGGGTTTCAGCCTTTGGCCCTGAGGTCCAGGGGAGACTCAGGCTACCTGCAAGGCATCAGTGAAGGCAAACCTGCCTGCAGGAGGTTGTTACTCACTACACACAGATCCATATGAGCAACAAAGACATATGGATCTATTAATTGAAAAAGGCTGAAAAATCCCTACGCAACACACCCATAGTGACCTAAGTATCACCGGAAGAGCACTGGGCAGCCGTGAGATTTAATCCAGACTGTATGTCCCAAAAATATGCCTTGTTGCCTTCATTAAAAGTAATCTAGCTCTGATAGGTAAAGAAACTTTACTACTTACATTTGTAAGGTTAATGGCCTTTATATACTTCACATTATGCCTTAAAACTCACCTCAGTAAGGCATTAAAATTTGAAAGTAACAACAAAATATTATTGTAAAACTAACCCATTTTAGCAGGACTTTTTCTAATTGGATGGGATTACTCCCAAACCCAGGTTTTCTCCCAAACTTCCCTGCATAGCTGGATAGCTTCAACTGATTATTTTCAAGATGTTGATTCCCAGGATTGCAGGAGGAATTTCAGCATTTTAAGTAGAGATGGGTGATGCATTATGAAAGGCATTGGAAAATGAGACTCTGAAAAGAAATTAAAGCCCAGAGCCACAAATGGATGCAAAGATAAAAAGATGCATTCCTAAATACTACCTTGCTGCTACCGTAAGCATTTAGCTAAAGTCTTAGAATTCTCCTCATGCCCAGGGACATCCGAACTTCCCTGGACAAATTGCCTAAGTGCTGAGAAAGGTGCTTCATCCCTTCTGCTGAAGTCACTCTACTCCAAATCATTTGGCCAGAAAGAGGAAGACGCTAGAGTGAGCACAGCTTCAGGAACAGGGAGATGTTTGTTCCAACTGCCAGACCAGCAACCATTTTAATACAGAAAAGATTCAGTAGAAGAAACTGAGAGGTTGCTCTTGCCACAGACAGGCCACAGGCTTATTATCTGGCAAGATATGATGGCTTTTGAGAAGCATCAGACTGGAACTGAGCCTCCCCTTTGCAGGCTTGCTGGGGGAACGCTTTATTGCCAGGAATACTGGGTAAAGGAAGGCCTTTTCCCAGCAGTGGTCAGCAAGGAAGAGATGGCTTATTTACTTCTACAGGTGGCTGGGGGCTGTGAACGTCCAGCAGTGGGAGTCACCCAGCAGGTACACCCAACTTGGGAACGGGAGCTGAAGGCATTCAACACTTACTGAGTGGGTCCATTATTAACGTACTGGTTTTGTAAATCTTAACCTTAAGTCAACAAGCTCCCAAAGCTGTTTATTCCTTAGATATATCTCCTATTGGCAACCGTCTTCCTCCTTGTTTATCTCCACTTCAAGGCTTCTAAGATTTCCTTGACAGAAGACAATACACATTCACTGTACAGCACGCATCTGTAATATTAATAAAGGGTGCACTTTTGAACCTTTTTCCCATGTTCAGCTTGCTGGAAAACACAACAGGAAACATGCTTGAAGGTTGGTCTGAAACATTCAGAAAAACAAAACAAAAAACCCTCTTGAACTAGATAAACAACAATAACAGAAAGCAAGCGCAAAGAATTTTGTATCTGCCTTTGAAGACTATAGAAGAGCATCCTTCAGGAGCCTGGCACTAGCATTACTCCAAAAAGGTACTTCGCCTGCATTTCCCTTAAATACTTCTGTCCAAAAGTAAATTCAGTTAGAACATTTCAGTCAAAAGCTAAAATTTGTTCAGATGAGAAATAACTTCATGATGATGTGTGGAACACCAGGGGCTTCCATACTCACCACTAAATGGGGTTTGTACTCCCATGCAACAAAAACATCTCCCTCCTTTGACACTTCTGCCATCTCCCTGGCAGAAATCGGTATCCACATACCATATTGCACACATGTACAAACTCAGACCTACCCAGACACACCAGGTCCAGAGAGCAATACTGTAAGCAAAACTGGCACATATGCTGGTGCCATATCTGCGACTTGCAAGCCTCAAAATCAGGCCTGCACAAAAACTGACAGAGCTGCTGGATAGCCAGGAATCCCAGGCAAACCTATAAAAAACAAAAATAAAGTATTTAAAAAGAGAACACTTTAGATACAATTACAGGAACCACAGAAGTAATGGATGATGAGAGCTCTTGGCCGTGAGAACGTGCTGAATATGAAGAACTTAGACAGAAGACACCCAAATTAGCCCACCCGCAATACACTGTGGCAACATCCCCTACTAAACAAAAATATTTCCATCTTTTAGCCATGAAGTTTTCCACTACAAAAATATCATTTCAGACAAAAACTGGCAATTTTCATAAAGGCCACTGCACACAAATACAGTTTCCCTTTCAGCAGAAACTTTCTGACCAATTATAACTTAATATGTTAAGTGCATGCCACAGAATAATCCTAAAAGTCCTCAAGATAAAATAAAATACCCTGATTTGTTTCAAACAACCCCACTGGCAGGAAGCTACTGCAATGCACAATTTCTGGAAGAAGTGGACACTGTTTTCTAAGAGCATCAGTGCTGGATACCACTCGCTCTTTAAATCAACACCTCATTTCTTGGGGACTGGCCCTTTGGGCATTGCAGCATTCCAACCTGTGTGGCACCCACCTGCTCTGGGTCACAATCCCAAGTATCTGCAGCCAGTCACGATTCCAAGTGTCAAAAGACCTAGCTTTAGTAACTTAGGCTTTCTGAAGATCAGTTCCAAGGCAACATCTTGTCTCTCAAAAATCTACAGATGTTCCAGCTGAACAGGTGAAACAGAGAACTGAACAGAGAAGTGCCAACATAATAGGTTCTACCAATGTATCTGGTACAACTTGAATAGAAACAAATCAAACCACCTTTTTTATTTTCAGTAATATGCATACATAATTGTGTAGAAAATTGAAATGTAAGCAAATGTGTAAAAAATTCAAATTGTTCTTGTATAAAATTTCCAAATACAGTAATATTAAAAACTTGAAGTCACACAAGAAGAACCAAACTGCCTGCTAGCCACCCATTTCCTCTACTTCATGTTAACTTGTTTACATCACTTGGAAAGATTAAAAAAGCTGTCAGCACAAATCACAAACATTTTTCACTGTGACAATCATAACAGTATGCCAGTCTCCCAGAAACAGGCAACTGGGAGGAGAGGTAATTAAAACGTTAAAGAAAAAACATTCTTCTGAGTTTACTTGAGACCAACTACTCCTGAATACCTGAGTCTGAAGTGGGGACAGGGAAGGCCACTTTAAGGTGGCTGAGGTTGCTTTTTCTAGAGAAGTTGAAATTAACATTAAACACGGGTCTTGCCTCCAAAAAGACCAATGTTCACATCAGTACATCTGATCACCTGCAGTACCGTATACACTGAACTCTAAAGCCATCCTAGCCAAAACAACAGAGGACAATGAACAAACCGTAATGTTTAGTGTGCTTTTCTCAAACTCCTCTATGTTCCACGTTAGCTTCATTAAGAAACAATAATTTTTTGGTAACAGGTTAAAAGCAGTAAGTAGTAAAAGTAACTTCTTGTTACAGCACTGGGTTGTACTGACAATTCCTACAGTAACACAAATAAACATACCACAGTTGCCTTTAAGATAGCTGGATAAAATCAAGCAACAGGGGTGTTTGGTGAAGGATGGTGTTGCCCCTAAATATCGTCCCAATCCCACATGGCTGTTGTGACACAGTGAATTAAGACATAGCTCTCAGATATAAAGAACCTACATTTTCAAGACTGAAAATACTGAAATTTTAAATTGGGATGAGAAGTCCTGAAAGTTGGGCCACATTAGTGGTAAGTGAAAGGATACTGCATGAAATCTACAATCACGTTTTTTAAAAAATGTACACTACAAAGTATGAAAAATACATCATTTTACAGTTTCTATACAACAGGTGGGAGAGATTATGTCTTGCCCCAGAAATCTTTCCTCTTCTGAGCTCGTTCCAGTATCTGAGATGCTAGCGAGCTAGATGCTGCAGAGCGAGCAGAAATCTGAGACAACCTGTCATCTGTGGGGAAAGCCACAAGAGAAAAAGTGAATAGAAAGATTAAATAAACATAGTAAAACACAGTTGACCATGGCAGACTTTCAAAGTGCAAATATTTTTATGCCCTCTTTAACCATGGATGCTAAAATATTACCACAATACACATTAATTCTAGTACTTGGCAACTGACGTGCTTCAAAAGATTCTCACTAGAAAGCTATAGCATGCTGGGTAACTAAGAGAGGTACATGCCCTCCCCTTGACAAACTCCAGAATGAGATCCTTACTGTCACCTGGGAATTGCCCAATTCTCCAAGTCAACTTTCCATTCATTCTCCTGTGTCAGAAAACCTCAGAAACTGTTGCTCCGCCACTGAATTCTGCATAGACTAGACTCTGATAATAACGTATTCATGAAAGCAACCCACCACTTCAAGCAAACCTTAGAACAACACAACTAAAGTAGCAGAACCCATGTTGCCAAAAGAGCCCTTCTGTGCCAAAACCAGCCAGTGTGCCACGAGCTGTTAAAAGAAATGCGTCTTCTAAAGAAAACAGGAAGTTTAACACAAAGACAACAAGAAGCATGCTTTAAAAATGTACTTTTGAAAGGTCTTCATTGTGAATACAGGGTCCACTTCACACCCAGCAAAACTCTTAAAATTAGGCAGCCTGGATACTGCTTCTCTGATAAAGCACAACATTGTATTTCTTCAACATAGTTATTAAAATGTTGCTACAGCTCTGCCAAGATACTGCCTATGAAAAGTGACCTTAATTACACCCATTCTCCAGCAATGGATTAAAAAGAACTGTATCACCACCTTTCAGCCCCCATTACTAACAAAAAAAGCAACCAAAAAATCCTCAACTAACTCCTAAAAGCACCTGTAATTTTTGTCAGTGTTTCAATTAGCTTGTCAGCAGCATTTCTAAATTCTTAAAATACGGTGATCCGAACAGCCCGTAACAACCATATTCCCATGTATGAGGAAACTGCAAACTGCCCTTGTGCAAACAGACATGTCATTGGAGTAACTCCCAGGTTTGTATGTACGTGAGCAAATAGGGGCACATGAAATATCTGCAAGATGGCACACTGCACCTGTTTCTGAAAGCACCTCCATCATCACTCAGCTCACAGGGAAAAAAAAAAGAAACAGCAGTTACAGCATTTGATATGTGTGCAGCAAGCTTGTGGGATGCTGCAGGCTACTATAGGATTTTGCATGGTTTATGTAGGTACACAGATGCTTGGCTGAGCCGTCTGCACAGCCCACACATTTTCCAGCCATCTGCAATGAGTAAAACAGAGAACTGGCCTGAACCTTGGTTAAAACCAAGGAGCAAACAAGCGTAAAGTGTACAGAAAAAAAACTTTTGGTTGCTCTGGGGTATGTCTATAAATAAACTGCAATCAGATATAAGCCTGATCTGCCCATAATCTAATCTGAACCAAACACAGATGACGGCGACTAGCACAGTGCAACACCAAGCTGAGCTCACTCACCATGCTAAGAACGCTGTATAGCAGCCCAGGCTAACGGGACTACAGCACCTCTGGTTGTTACATTACTGAAAGAGTTTATTTGGGTCTGCCCACCAAAGGGCCAGGACAAGGCACTGGTGGGCTGTGCACCAGCTGCTCCCCCAGGATCAACTTCACAGTAAAAGAAAAAAGGCCAAACCAGCAATCAGAATAACAGGTTGCTCTAAGTACCCCTCATACACTGAGCAGAGGAACAGGCTGAAAATTAAAGTCAGAGGAATCATTTTATGCTGCATGTCTGGTAATGAATTCCCAAAAGCAAAATCTTCATCTGAAGATTTTTGGTACCTTTTAAGTTGCATGGAAAGTTGCTGTAGCTGCAACCTGGGCTATGATCATTTTGCAGTTTGCCTCTGTTGTTATCAAAAACTTAAAAAGTGTATGGGGAGGAAATTATTTTAGGTATGGAACTGAGCAAGCTATAGTTGCCATACTGAACCACAAGGGTCTATTTAATTTTCAGCCACATTTAATGGTTTATTCATACTAGAATACACCTTCATATCCTTACTTCAGATTACTAGGATGAAAATTTTCAAATTATTTTGATGAAACAATGCAGTAGTTATTCATGCAAACATATAAGCCAGTATTATTTCCTGCATTCAGAGACTTCTCACATTAGTGCAAAAGTTTCAATTAATCTAGGTAATATATACATGATATACAATAATACTTTAGGACAAGAAATACCTTCATCATTATAGTTTCTTTCCTGAAGAGGTAACTGGAAAGATCTCATTTTTGGATTGCCAAAATTCCCTATGACAAAAAGCCAAAGGCACAGTTTTGAATTATTTCAAAACAGATAAAGTATAAGCTTTCATTTTAGAACATCTAAAAATGTTACAACATTATTTCCAAAACATGAGTCTTATAAATAGCAAACATACCAAAAACTCCACCAGACTCCTTTATTCTAAGCTGAGGTAAAATAAATTCACTCCACTGTGTTCTTCTCAAGGTACCCATCTTTGGCAGATGCTACAAGTTACTTAGTGACCTGCACTCGAGGCACAGAGCTGGAACCCATTACCAGTTCTAACCTCTTTCTGAGGAAATCTCTCGATTTTACCATCCCATTTAACCTGAAAACTAAACTACTTGTTCCATTCTAGAACGGAAATACTACTTCAGTTTAGCTAATCTTTATAACAAAAGGACCAAGAATTGTGGGTCCTTAAGCAGCTATAGATAGTCTTTCTGGCATGGAGACTTAAGCACATAAACTTTAAGCACATAAACTTTATTTTGACTAAGGGGGTCATTTTATTCTTTTCTTTATCAAATGTATGCCCTCAGTACCCCTAAACATTGTTAAAAATCTCAGAAATGCTCCAGCACAAATGCCTCCCCAGCCAAGAAATGGCTTCTCTCAATATTCAATAAATCTTTTATAGATGGTATATTTGTTTCCATATCCTGCAGAAATATTTAAGGAGCTTATCTCTCAGAAATCCCCTGCAAAATAATACCACACTATAAGGGTCCTTAGTTACACACCACTGTTGGTAATTACAGCTGGAAAAGTGTCACAGCATCGAGTTGTAGCCTAAATGTTAAAAATTGCAATTGTTCAAGCTAAACCAAATTGTTCTCCTAATGATTAAGTACTTACTGAAATTAACAAGGCAAAACTAGTCAATAGACCACTAGAATACAATTATATTAGCAGAATCTGAAACTAAGGTGAAGAGTTGTGTGCATTTCGTCAGCAAGGCTAAACAAAGAGTAGAAAAGCTTTTCTTTACAAACAACACATTTTTTGTAGAGTCTGTAAGATGGCAAGCTTGGCACTCTCTTGGCCTGAACACTGCACACTAGCCATTCCCATCCTGCAGCCCTCTAACACAACCAGTTAATACACAAAACCCACCGTTATGCTGGAATTCTGGATCCTTGAGAGCCCCTTGAATACGACGCGAGGGACTCCAGCAAGGCATAGAGCAATTTTTGGCTGACTTCAGCACAGGAAGTGTAGGGGAACGCTCTTGATGGGCTGAAGCAAGAGGAACTTTCTCATCAGAAACACTGTTAGGCCACTGATCCTGCCTAAGTGGCAGAGGATCCAGAGTTCCCAGCCCAGCAGGTGGAGAGGTAAGGAGCGAAACAGCTTCCACTTCCACATTAGGCTAAAACACAATACAAAGGAAAAAAATATACAAAACAATATACAAAACCCCAGCTTTTCATATACAGCCTTTCAGTAGAGATCCTCACATATGCAGCAAATGTTGGCTTTACACTGTCACGCTCCTCATGAGGGTACTCGAAAAATAAGTATTCCAAGCTTGTGAGACAGCTTAGAGAAAATCTATTCCTAATAACAAGTATTTAACATGGTCTGAAAGTAATCTAGTCAGGTCAAATCAAAAGCTTCTTTTCTTCACATCAAAAAACTATGAACTTATATTTTAAACCAACACAACCAACTTCTCATGCAATTGTGTCTGCATCCATTACAGAACTTATTATGGAGGATGAACACAGTGAATTGTTAACCATCTACAGAACACAGGCTAAGCACAACTTGACAAAATACCCCACAATGGCACATTTACCTGTCTTGTACATGGGCACCTAACCTCTCCTTCTAAAACTTTCCTCAAGTCAAGGAATTTGGACCGTGCCCTACATCAGTGGCAAGCGACAGTAATGTTAACGGGGAAAGCAACAGCTCCTCTTTTTTCTTAAAGCAAATCCTTTGCATTTAGCAGAAAAAGCCAAAATGGAACTCATCCAATCTCACTCCCATAGTCTCAACTCCTTTGCTTGATACCCCAAAACTTTTGTTCAGACATCGGCCTTTTTTAATCACAGATGTTTAAAATTTTACTCAAAATTTTACTATAGTACATAACTCAAGAAAAAGAATTACTAAATAAATTATTCACAATTACTTAAAAAGCACAATGGTAAGTCTCTTTTCTGGCTCACCTGGAAAGACCTTCTTTTTGAAGCTTCTCTTGTACCCTCCTTAGCTGAAGAAGGGTCTGTTCCTAAACCTGGTGTTCTCTGCTGTGAAGATGAAGACTTGAATTTAGGAGGAGACACCAGAACCGCACCTCCTATCGTAGTGGAGAAGATGAAAAATGCTTTATTACCTTAAATAACCTACTAAATTAATTCATACATGCCTTTTTTCCAATTATTTATTTAGTTCTTGAAACACTGCTTTGCATTTAAAAAAGTTTTTACCAACAGCTGGGGTAGTGAGATCATGATGAGTCCTCTGAGCTCCACCAAGCGCCCTCAGCTTTGGAGTAGGAAGCCTGCCACCTGTCCTCGAGGATACAGAAGAAGAATCTGACACAGCTGCAGAAGCATTCAATGCTAAGGCATTCTCACTGTAAAAAATGAGCAATGATTACAGGATTAGCTAAGGACACAAGAGTCTTGCACTCAAGCTTTTTGATTCTAATACATTCCTACAATGAACAGAATCATAGAATTGTCCCGGATGGAAAAGACCTTTAAGATCATCAAGTCCAACCAGCAACCTAGCACTGCCAAAAAAGCCTAAACCAAGACAGTTAGGGCCATAAAAATACCAACAGCCTGTAGCTAAAACATCTGCTTGCAATGGGGAGTCCCAGATTTCAGCCCCTGAGCCTCTATTTCTGGTTGGGTTTTATGTAACTGGATAAAATACATAAATAGTCTCAAGCTGCAAATTCAGGCTCCTCTGTCCCAATAAACTTTGAATGTATTGCTGCACAGTAGTAGAGACTCAACAGGAGGGCTGGAAAGAGTACTCACCCAGAAAGGCTTTGAACCTAGTTGCCACCTTAGAGGTGGGAACGTGGGTTTGACTCTTTTCAGTCAATGTGGTGGAACTGAAACGAAGTATCCCACATTTATGTAACCACTCTAGCCCCCAGGTTATTAAATAAATCAGCACTACTTCTGCCTTCTTCCTCCAGATGCATTTCAAGAGGAGGTGGCGACATACCCACAAGCGTGCAAGGAACCTGATCCTATCAGCGCACGCTAGGCACGCTCTGAGGACATGCAGGCAAAGAATGCCTCAGTCCCAGCTCTCAAGCAGGCTCAGACAACATGCTCTGTATGGCCACATCCAGAGCAGATCTCAGCACACACAGCCACCCTGCAGGATGACAGAAAATCTTCACTGTCAATCAGAGACACATCTATGAACTAGACAATCTCTAGAATTAGAAACTTAAGTAGGTTTTCAGGATGATACTTTCAAAAGCCTGCATTTAATTTCTATTTGAGTCTAGCACCTCAACCTTTCTTTGCCTGGATTTTGCATACAGGATATTATCCCCAAAGGAGCCAATTACAATCCCATACCTTAGATTCGTGCTGCAACACCAGAGGTAAAACCCAGTGGGGAACACAAAATGCTTAGATGGTATGGAAACAAATTATTCAGATTTAAACATCTATCAAACTAAAATACTGTTCTACCAAAAAAGTATGCAAAACTTGCACAGTAAAAAGCCAGTTTCTTCTGTAACTAGATATAATATGGATCCTTCAACTGACAAATATAGTAATATGCATTATACTATGCACATAATGAATTGATCTCTCATTATTTCTAAACACCTCTCTGCCTTCTTCTCACCTGTGCTCAGTAACATTATCACCTCTGATTACTGAATGCTAGTTACTTTTTTCTCCCAAGTCCTTTTTCTTTGCCCATTATTTTTTTTAAGAAATACAGATGCTTAAGCACAAGATTAGCATGCACTCTATCCTTTCAATCCTATCAATACTATGTGTCAATTTGAAGCAAATTGTGAGCTTTAATTTTCACTACAATTGGTGGCTGCGTAATGAGCAGTCTGTTCTGAGAGGCTCATACTACAAATTCTAATGTTTTGGAAAAAAATTAGAATTATTCATGCTTCTACATACTTTTGCCTTGCGAGTTAGAAATCAAATATTCTTAATGATACATTCATTTCCATCAACTAGTTCAATAACTTGAACTTTCTCACTCCTTATAATACTGTTAAAAACAAAAGTATTATCAGCCCAACTTACGCTCTGAAATAAATTTGATTTAAAACTAAAAATTAGTTAACCTACAAACTTCTGAGATGATAGAGGAAAAAATTATACAAATATATATCACAAAAATGTTCAGTTTTACCCTTCAATTTTCATATCTTCATTGGCATTTTTATTGTTTTCATCTAACTGCTGAGCCACAACTGCAGCCTGTTCATCTTGTTTTTCTTCCTCTTCTGTAGATTGCAGATTCTCCCTTTCTTCAGTACCTTCTTGTTCACCCCAAACTAAACGCCTTCTGACTGGAACAGTTAAAGCATCTGACATGTCTTTCTTCTCAGAGCTGTCCCGGTGTGGCTGTTCCCTGGGGTCAGGATGCTCCAACATTTTGGGGCTTGGTGCAGTCTCTTTTTCAGAAACTCTAGGTAACACAGAAAGTGGTGTTTCATAGCACTGATTTTCATGGTATACACGTGTCTGTGTAGAACACATGCCCCCAGCCCAGCCCTTTGCCAAAAGTACCGCTCAGATATTAAAAAATGGTGCAGTCAACATGATGAATGGTTAATTTTCCACTGACGTTTTAACTGATGTTTAAACACAACCCATTTTCAAACTAGATTCTATGAAAACTTTCTGGATTACTATTTCCAAAAATGTAATGTAAAATCAGGGCTCTATTTCCAATTTAAACAAGTTAGATTATCAGAAGTGCTCAAAAAATAACCAGTTCCATGTATAGGGACTGTCTGATAGCTCAATTTTGAACACCAAGCAGTTTAGAAGAGTCCTCTTTAGGCACAGCTTCTGAAACTCTTAAACTCTCAACTCTCATGGAATTGGCGCAAATTATCCCAATGCACAGAAATGAGAGCAGTAAGAGGATCTGTATGTCACAGGCAAAAACCCAAACCAGTAAACCAAAAAATTTGCACCATACTTCTTGTCACACACTACAGTGCAATAAATATTCTTTCACGTGTCATCCCCAAATCCTTATTAGAGATACAGTCATGCAAATGGGTAGATCTGTCCCATACACACAAATAGTGTGCATACAGCAGTCCAAGTGGACTGCAGACAGAGGCATCCAAGGCACTGTTTCTAAATATCAGATCTCAGAGAAGTCACAAATGGCGCTTTTTTCCCCTCCTTGCTTCAGCAACAGCTGTCTGTACGTGTTACTAAAATACTAATTCTGAATTTTCCTAGCAAGGGATTTAATATCTGCTAATTCTGATGACCTCCAAATAAAGGAGGAAATGGATGGACACCACTCCAACTCCTTAGCCTTCATCTCAGAACTAAACAGTGTGTAAGACTCAACCACAAGATTAATTAAACTTGACAAGAACATTGGTAACATCTGAGTAGACAAAACATATTTCATATCATTCCAGTAGAATATTACTTCAGTATGACTCAGTGCAAAATTCTTCCAGACTTGATGAGACTAAGGCTGCCACGCTAAATATGTACTTGTGGAGAATTATAAAGGAGTAACTTTCTCTTCTTCCAGAAGACTGGACTGCGCCTCATTTTCAAGTTGAGCACAACCAACTGATGTATCTGTGAAAACGTAAATGCCCTCATCTGTTCTAGACAATTACGTATCACAGAACCGTAGGACAGCCCAGGTTGGAAGGGTCCTTGAAAGATCATCTCATCCAACCTTTCGTGGAGAAAGGGAGCCTAGATGAGATTACCGAGCGCCCTGTCTAATCACGTCTTGAATACAGCAAAACACTGAAGATATCACAGCTATGCTAAGCCTATATTCAGAATTTTGCTCTGTTTCAAAGCTGCAGAGTAACAGGCAGGAATGACGACCTTACCCGGCAAGATCTAGTGCTCTGATGTTGTTGCTGATGCCTTCTTCTGAACTGGAATTTGAGGACACATCCCAAAGGCTGTTATTATCGGAGAGGATCTGATTGAGATGGTATCGGGAAAAGTGTGTTCCCTCTACTCGTTGCCTGTAAGCCTTTGCTCTTTCTCGAAGTTCTCTCACCTGCGCATCAAGGTTTCATAAACGTCATGCCTGTTTACAGTTAACTAACAGGCTATAACGTTACCACATATCTGCGTTAGCTAATGGCAGCTCAAGTAGAAAGGCAAGTTTCTCGTAATACAGGACGACCCACATGCATGCCGCAGCAAAGGCAACACAAGGAAAGCAACAATAACAAAAGTGTATACTTAGTAAGCATGTTTGAGCCACAAAGCCAAAGCAAAATTGTCAATTATTCAGTGAGAACAAAAAGTTATGCAGCAACTATCAATAAATTTAGTGCTGGATTCTAGTTTTTCCATCAGCGCTGAGACACAGTGCTCCAAACATTGAAACAGGAACTTAGATGCAACCAACCTCCATATACCACATGGAATTTAGGGTGTTTTGAGATGCCTAAGGAAAGGAATACAGAATTATTTCAAATTTTCTTATTTTTCTCTCAACGCTGTATTGTTATTACCACCCTTGTAACTTTATTTCAGGCTACGTAACAAATTAAACACTAAAATCCTGTCAACGTAGCTCTATGCTGCCTCCCTGAGATTCACTAAAAAGCTGTAAAACAAATACATTGGCACTGGTAATTGCCAGTTTTTGCCAAGCTTAAGGAAATTTATTTAGATTTCTAAGCCTTGACACTCAAAAATACATTCACCACACACTAATTTATGACTATTTCAAGTCAACAGATTGATGTGCATGTGTAATCCTGAGTTTGTATGCTGTGAACACTGCAACTGTCTCTAGCTACACTGAACCTATCTCAGCGAGGAGCTGATGATTACATGAGAACTCTTGGTGCTATTATATGTAAGACATAATATCAAAATCATTCCTTCTAGGCTATCAGTAACTATAAGAATGAGATGTCAGGTTTAGTCTTGGAAAAAAAAAGTGGTAAGTACGCTCTTTAGACATTATACTGCTGATTTCACACTATCATTTTTATGGTTAAAACTATTTTAACACTCACACGGTCTCGTGTCCTTCACCCAAACACAATTAAAGTGCAGGAAGAAAAAGGAACAACAAAACTTTTATGTTTATATGATTAAAAATAACTCTGTGATACTGTTATGTGAATTCTCGCACACTAAAGAATGGTTTACAGGAAATAAGTATTTTGTCAAAGAGCAGGAAAGTAATACTGACACTTCCTCTAGCACATTTTCATAGCTTTTATTTATTCGTCTTTCATGACAGACCTTGCATTGTTCTTCCTGCAAGGAGCAGAGTTAAGTCAGCCAAATTCCGTTAAACACACTCAAAGTAACTGGATGCAGCAGATGGAAATCCACTGAGCCCACACCAGCTAACAACCCACAATTTGACCCACTAAACTTCCAAAGAATAGCCCATTAAAAATATATACTTGTCATTTTAAGAGGAGAGTTTAAAGTCTGAGATGCAACTGATCTACATTCACTGTAAGCAGAAGAATGAAACATTAATTATGACAGCCACAACAGAAGGAATATAAATCCAAAGCAACAGGACACTGCAGGGGGAGGAAGAATGCTATGTCTCCAGTGAATTGTGAAGTACAAAGGACAACCATCTCCTTCAGTGACTCAGCAGGCAGCATATCTCAGCAGGGCAAAGGCCCCAGAGAGTCCTGCTGTGATTAAGAATTGCCCACATTAATTTTTCAAAAGCATAATTCAAAGAGATTTTTTCACTCAAATCATTTTTGTCATTGCGGCAAAGCAACCCTTAATAATACATTGCAGAGCAGCAGTCTAGGTGTAATCACTATGGCCAAGGTCATATCAGCATTCTATTATGGTCTTTGCCTGTTTGGACTCAGAACTTTAGAAAGTCTGCTTTGGACCCGAAGTTATCCATGTGCAGTCCCAACTAAGGGGGAAACCAGAGTAGATCAGGCAGACCTTATCACCTAATCCTTTATGCTAAGCGAGAGATGTTCTGTAGGCACCTGCAGCAGGGGTGAGTCTCAATATCAACCAGAGGTCGAGGTTAGATACTGCGTTGCAGAACATTTCTCTACATGTCAGTGAAAAATAATGGGAACAGGTATGGAAATGTTTAGAAACCAAAAGGATTGTTGAGCAGCCTATACTGTGCATGGCCAAAGTACCTTTGTTGCTTTATTATAAAACCAACGAGCTTGACAATTTTTTCAAGTTATGCATACTTACATTAACCTGCTGTTAACATCTTTCTCAAATGATAGATTCTTTCTTATGTCTTAACTGTGAATAAAATATTTTATTCAGTCCTACTATTTTAGCCATGCTAGATCCCATTCTGTAGTTTTACAACAAAAATGTTGATGAATTAAAAAAAAAAAAAAGCCTGGCCAAGAATCAGATCAATCAGGATTTTTATTCTTGTATTAACAGAGGTTTTAAGACTGGAAAATTCCAAGCTTTAACCTTGCTCTCTGCTTTCTCCACACCCACAAAAAGCTTTTTTTTTTTTAAGAATTGTAACCCATATTTTATATATACCTTTTGAAATACTAACAGGACAATAGCACATTAAAAAAACCCTCCATATAGAAAATATCCCACAGAGTAACACACTTGCACAAGCTAAATATTATTCTTTGTCTACTAGCAAAACTAGTTTGAAATGCTGTACTGGTTTTGGCCGGGATAAAGTTAATTTTCTTCACAGGCTTGTATGGGGCTGCGTTTTGGATCTATGCTGAAAATAGACTTGATAACACAGGGATGGTTTAGCTATTGCTGAGCAGTGCTTACACAGCATCAAGGCTTTTTCTGCTCTTCACACCACCCTACTGGCAAACAGGCTGGGGGTGCACAAGCTGGCAGGGGACACAACCAGGACAGCTGACCCCAACTGACCAAAGGGATATTCCATACCATATGACATCATGCTCAGCATATAAAGCTAGGGGAAGAAGAAGGAAGGGGGGAAAGTTGAGAGTGATGGTGTTCATCTTCCCAAGTAACTGTTACACATGACAGAGCTCTGCTTTCCTGGAGATGGCTGAGCACCTGCCCGCCAACAGGACATAGTGAATTAATTCCTTGGTTTGCTTTGCTCATATGGCTTTTGCTTTACCTTACTGTCCTTATCTCACCCAATGAGTTTTCTCACTTTTACCCTTCCGATCCTTTTGTCCGTCCCACTGAATGGGGAATGAACAAGTGGCTGTGTGGGTCTCAGCTGCCTGCTGGGGTTAAACCATGACATATGCTCACAAGCATGTGATTTAAAGTCTAACAGATAGAACCTGAATTGGAATTCAGGTAATTCCAATTACAAAAGTCTTCCATATGAACTCATACTAGGATCTAATGTAGGTATGCATACATTAAAATGTGTATGTAATCAAAAATGTGTATGTAATCTAAGCACATCTGTCATCAATAAAACATTTATTATAGTCTTGAAATTAATTTGGCTCCTCCAGCTACCCAGCACAACTCCTTCATTTAGAAAGCCCTAAAAACTCCTAATAATTCTTTTTTGAATTCTTCATGCCTACTCCCAAGTGGCTTCTTTTAGTTTCCTGCAATTCCCTTGTCAGCAAGAAAATCTCCATGGAAAAGTCAGATACATCCAAAACACATATCTACAGTGTGGGAATTCCTTGGTTTGTCATACGCTCTAATTAAATGCTGCATAAATTTACTTCCTACATCTCTGAAACCCAACCCAAATAGGATTCATCCCCCATCCTCCACTTGCAGTCTCCTCAGTCTTTCCCTTGACTGTACTGCAATGACTCCTCCCAGCTGGCTGTGGCACAGGCACAACATACTCCAAGATAATGTGTCCCTTTCCCTTTTCTTGTCTCTTGAAGCTGAGCACTGCTCCTGACTGTTTCAAATGTTACTGACACAGCATCCAGTCTCCAAATTAAAGTCGTACATGCCAGAAAAATTACGTAATATTCTACAGAAACATTCTGAATACCACTTAGTCAGGCTCTATGCAATAATTCAGAATATTCTACAGCCTTAGCTACAGGAAGAGTAAATCTAATTCATATATCAATGCATATAAAAAATAAAAATACTGCTTGTTTTTAGTCCTCTAACATCCTCATGAGGCTGTTATCACAGAATGGATTATCTCATGCATGCATACACAAAATCTAATCATGAATCATCACATACTACAATATATTTGAAACTTTGAGACCTCTTTCTCACCGAGTATTTTGTATATATTCAATATATATTTCTTTATGCCTAAAAAGAGAATGACTTGCTAGATTGTCTTGTGAGAAAACACAGAAATGAATGCTACCACATTATTCTTGCAATTCCCAGAGAATGTAATTCTCAAATTCTCAAAGCCCAACACCCTAAAGCCATCCACTCCAGTTCTGTCTTCCACATCAGCTTGGTCCCAGCTGATGAGGAAACTCACACTTCCAAGCTATTTGCCACACATTTAGCAGGACACAGTGTCTCAGCGTTGTGGGTTAACCCCAGCCAGCAACCAAGTACCTCACAGTCACGCACTCATCTTCCCCCTCACAGTGGGATGGGGAGGAGAATTGGAGGAAAAGACAAGGAAACTCATAGGTTGAGATAAGAGCAATTTAATAACTGAAACTAAATGAAATAAAACAGTGATACTAATAATGCTAGCAATACCAGTAAGATTAATAATACTAATATTATTACTTATATTATGTTCATATTACTACCACTATTACTAATAATACATAATGAAAATAATGGAAAACAAATTATACAACCGCTCAGCACTCACCGACTGAAGCCCAGCCAGTCCCTGAGCAGTGAGAGCCAGAGCCCGAGCCCGAGAGACAGTCCCAGAATATAGAGAGAGACAGACAGACACTCGTCCCACTCCCCCCAACTTATATACTGAGCATGACTGAATGAAATATCCCTTTGGTCAGTCTGGGTCAGCTGTCCTGACTGTGCCCCCTCATGTGCAGTATCAGAAACCAAAAAAGTCCTTGACTTGATATAAATATTGCTTAGCAACAATTAAGAACATTAGTATGTTATCAACATTCTTCACAGCACAACCAAAATATGGCCTCATGCTAGCTACCATGAGGAAAACTAACTCTATCCCAGCTAAAACCAGGACATTCGAGAAGGATCCCTCTATCAGCTGGGAGAAGCTTAAGTCAATTCAACGAAATCTGACAGCTGCAGAACTTGCATGGCAAGATAATAAACTGATCCTGACTGTCAAGCCTGACCCAGGCTGATGCATACGCTGGCCTTTTCCTTTTGTTACCTTGGAACAGGCTAACATCTAATTCTACATTTTGAAAACTTATGTTTGTTACAAATGGGCTGAACATCAACACTACAATTACCTGCTCCAAGAGACTCTGTTCTGGACGATTCTGATTTGTAAGGGAAAAAAAGCTGCTCCCTCACTTCATATGTCACATTAACATACTCTTTAAGTCACACTGTCTCTTTTTCTTACTACATATTATACTGGCTTGTCAGAACTTAATCTTCTTTGCACACTCACCTTTGGGAGCTTGATCCATTAGCATCACAATCTCAAAACTGTATCTTATAAACATCACAATTCAGTTTTGTATATAAAAATCAAAATACAAAGCACATTTAGGCTTCAGATTTTTTAAGAATACTCACCTGGTTGGGAACTTTACTCCTGATACGAGACCAAACTCCATCTTTGTAGAAATACTGGGCTGGAGACAAAAATTTTGACCTATATTCAGTGTTCATCTTCCTAAGAAATCAAGAATGAAACAGATAAAAAAGACAGAGAGAGTAAAGCTTGACATGCAGAAGACTCTTTAAGAGCACTTGTAACACTATATCAACAATCATAAGTGTATTTATACTTAAATGACAGGGCTGAGACATTCAAAACACAACTACGAAAACTGTGAAAAAGCTCATTCACAGCTGATGGCTCTTTCAGTAGTTATTCCTCTTGGTTTTCCCTCACAGTCCTTCTGCCACAGCTTTTGCCCTGGCAGCCATATCAGCAGAACGCAATACACACATACGTCTCAACTACCTCAGTGCAAACTGGAACATCTTGGTTTAAGTCACTGATGAAGGCACATTTAAGTAAATGTGCCGGGTTTGGCACGAATGTGTGTGAGACATTTCCTTCTATGAACTCCACTGTAAAGGCAGTCTGCACATGGGTGGGGTGAAGTGTTGGGGCTAGAAACATCCGACTACCAGAACAATGGTCAGCATAATTCATCTAACTATGTCCTACTGCCTTTGATCTTCAAAAGGCCTCAATACTTGAAAAGATGGATTCATTTTCCTTTCTGCCACACACATACATACACAGAAAAATTGTCATCTACCCTATAGCAGGCAACACGCAATACTTCAAGACCTTAAACACTGAACTGTGGATTTATCAGCTAAAATCTAAGGAGATCTTTGGTTTTAATCTTACTTCTGAACATTACTAAGTTTATTTTAATACATTCAGTATTGGGTGGAAAAGTCCTCTTTTTAGTCCTTCAAAAATAGATCATAAAAGCCTGAAGTTACAGAGTAAAATGCACCTTATAAAAAGAAAAATACCAAAGGAAGAAAAAAACTTTATATTCAAAATTTCTTTCCATATGTTCCTTTCTTTGGCAGAAAACTTTTTTTTGGTTGCAAAACTAAAGGATTAGCTAAAAGAAACACATCACTGCTGTGCCTTGATCCCAGCCATTCTGCTGCAAAAGCAAGCCATGCAATGCAGCTTGCATACAAAGCAACAATCCTGTCTGCATTTTGACAGCTATTTGCCCAGTGACTGTTTTGGTAACTTTTGTCTTGTGCTACCACACTGAAAGCATACAGGGCAGAAATTTGTCCTTAAATGAAAAAGGTCATAGTAACTGATCAAGAATTTTACGCTACTACTCATTGCAAAATTGACTACAATCGACTATGTCTAAGAGCTACAAAAACCAGAGTTGGTCTAGCGGAGGGTGTCCCTGCCCATGGCAGGAGGGCTGGAATTAGATGATCTTTAAGGTCCCTTCCAACCCAACCGTTTCTACGATTCTATGATTTCTATGAGTTAAAGGTTATAACTACACTATGTCCACTCATTTTTTCCTAAAGAGGTTTCATTTCATATAATTTTGCATGATCATTTTGTAATTATCTCCCAATTTGCAACAGCATTCAAACCTAGATAAGACTCTTTTCCCATCTTTAATCTAATGCCTTAACACTGGCAGAAAGTCATGTGAATGAAAGCAATGACTGGGACATACACTGAGTACAATGACAGCAGAGGTGGATTAATTTAGGCATTTTTAAACCTACATCCATTCTGGGCTTTTATTTCTCTTGGCATATCCCAGATGTGTAGACAATGGAAACTTGAGTTCAGTTCCTGCAATGTAGGTATGTGGCAGAAGAAAAAGATACTTTGATAATGCTCAGTAATAATATACAATTTCATTTCCATGCTTTTCAGATTACCCAAAATGGGACAGATTTCTTTACTTCCCTTTACCTTATGTGATTGCTTTTGTTTCTCTGGGACAGAAGGTGGTACGGACTAGAAAAAGCAGACATCAGGTACAATCATCAGAGTTTTAAGGCGTGGAGCAAGCACAGGAAAGCAGTTTGAAAGGTGACTACAACTTCCCAAGCACTTGCTGAAAGATTCATAGCAGCATTGCACCAGTTCCTTTACATTCATGTTAAATTTATTAATAATATCATTATTATTGCACCAGAAGGTTCAACTGAACGAGTGTAGTTACAAAGGTTTCACTTCTGTTCCCCAGAGAAAGGGATGGAAATGAACACCAAGTTTAGAGGTACCCCCAGGAAGCTCAATCGCAGTGCTGCAAGAGGGTCGACACTGCATTTGCACTTGCAACTGTATGACGGTGCCGCTAAAGGTCATCGTCCACCATTCTAAATATTAGGCTGCTGTACACCTATTCGCTAGGCTAGGTTTTCCTACTTTATACATACCCACGACTTGTATGTAAAGAGAGGGGCTTTGGACTGATATGTTGCTTATTTTTTTGTTTAGGATGTTTCTGTTCTGATTTCCCTTGTTTTGCTGCATCTTCTGCTGGCTTTGGAAACGGTTCTTCCCTCTTACTCTAAGGCAAAGATAATTTTAAAAATACCATATTAGCTACACAACTGGAAACCCTCATATTCCTTTTGACATAAAATTTCTGCAAGAAGATAATTGTATTTTTAAATGTCAATTGTTTTGCGTATTTAATAAACAAGAATATACGTTGTTAGTACAAAAATAAACTAGCAATATGCCAAAGCTAAGATTCTGAGCGCAACATTCAGCTAGTTAGATGACCCATTCTGTACGCTTTACAAAACTAATTTAACATCAAACATAGAAATGAAAGAATACGATACCTGTGTATTCTAACTCTAACTTGAGTTGTGTCTAAGACTTAACAGCTATATTTCTGGAATTTCTAATAAATTAAAAACCCAACAACTCTTAGCTTTATAGTCAAGCAATATAAACCAACTTATAACAAACCAAAAGGCAAAATTTTAATTTGCTGTCATTTTGGTTTATACAGGGTCAGATTTACTTGTTCAATTTAACATCAAAGATTTTTTTTTTCCTGCTTTATCCTCTTGGAAATCTCATGCATGATTTCTGATTCTGCTAGAGATCTCTATAGATATTGTTCAAATTGGGGGGGGGGGGAAGCCCATCAAAATCCCCCAAAACTTTTTCAAGATATTAATCAGAGAAGAGATACCAGTATAAACATTTTCAGACAGTTTCACAAAAAATCCCTTCTCATGCCTTCTCTTCCTTTGTTTTTTAGCTCTTTCAGGAAAACGTAACTTGAATTTCCAATGTTCAAAACAAACAAATGCTTACTAAAAGCCTCATGCCTTTCAAGCTTTCTTCACATCTGCTATGATGCAAAAGACGACATAAAAATCCTCATTCTCAGATGAGATTTAAAACACTGGGCAGGCTTGGGTTCTAAATGATAAAGCCTCCAAGCCAACAATCATCTTTAAGAACCTAGACAGTATCAATGGCTTAAACTGAGCCACAGGCACTCCATGTTAAGTATACACTTTACTCAGTAATGGTCCCAGTGAACATGTCTGACAATAGCTGTTTCTGTTTTATCAAGGAACAGAGATGGATACTGAAAAGCCTCATATGTGGCCCTTCTACCTGAAGGATAGTTAGCTAACCTGCAGGAATTTAGACAACACTTGCTACAAAAATAGATATTCATCTGTCCGCCTTGCAAAATAGGTTGGCTGTCATGCAGTCTAAATTGCTATCGCCTACTTTTAGAAGGTCTCAGTCTGAAACAATTCCATTCTATTACGTGTATGATTCTTAAAAGTCCATTTACGTTAGTCCAAACCAACAGAAATGCAAGGAAATGCAAGGCCTCAGACAGCCAAATTACTTCCATAGCAGACGTTTTAATGTTTTGAACTGAGTAACAGAGCCTACATACACTACACAATGTCCAGTTATAGCCCTGCACATCCCTTTCAACTTATCAAGGCAAAGGGAAATTACTTGTAACCTTTCCCCATTGTTCTTCAAATTAATATTGGATGAAAACCAATTCCAACTGTGGCATCTTCCATACTTCACAGTATTCTTTTTTTAATTCACACTATGTCTGATTCAGGATATCCAAAAAGTTCCAGACCTCCCATCCAGCCCTCTTGCATACCAAGAGACTACAGCGGTACCAACGAGAGCATAAACTGGAGATTTAGATTTCAGAAACTATTCTGCTGACTAAATGCAAAGTTTCAATTAAGAAAAAATACTACTTGAAAACTCATAAACTAACGTGACAGGAAAGACACTCTCAGCATGTCATTGTACACTGAAAAAACACCCTACAGAAACTACAGAACCCACTACAGAAACCCCCAAGAACAAACCAAGCTGCACATTGCTATTTTCAGTCTTTTGTAGCAAAACCACTACCGAGTCCAGTGTCATTAGCTATAAAATATAACTAAAAAACTTCAGAATAAACCCACCCCTGCATTATAGAAAAGAACAATCAAAATTAGAGAAGTATACTAATGCTGTTCTTTTAGGAAGTATTTACTTGTTCGCAAACAGGAAATTCTCTCTCGTCCAAACCACTTCTCTCTTGTGGACCCTCAGCAGGAGGAGACCCTTTGAAATTTCTCTCATTTGCAGTTTCAGAAGTAATTGCAGGAGATTTGAACGGAGGTATGGATTTATTTATGTTGTGAATAACCTTTGGGGGAAAGATAACAAAACAAAAAGTGTGTAATTTGCTTACCTTAATTCAAGCAAATAAACTCACATATGAGCAGAGATGGTCATGTGTATAAATACAGCATGTGCAGACTAATAAAATTCTAGGACAAACTGAAGAGAAACTTAACCAGATAAAAATATATTTAAAACTGACTGAGCCAGACAGTTAAACCTGTGGTCAAACACTGTTTTTCCTGAAGTTCACTAACAAAAGTTTTTTTTATTTGGGAAGACGGTTCACCTTCAGAGTTGTATGTAGTATCATATTTTTTAAAACATATGCAACAAAATCTCCCTATGAGTCCCCAGTACATGTCCAATCCACAACATACAACTGTTCTGGTTTAGACCTGGATGCTTAGGGCTTGGTAATTTGAGCTATCCACTATTTTCCAATCAATACTGTATTACAAACCAAGGTAGACAATTTGCCTAATACATGGTCAGGTCCCATCTCCTCACAGTGTGGTGAGTTAAAAGAGCACACCAGATGTCACAAGCATACATTTCCCCCAGCTTTGCTATGAAAGTTTAAGTCTGACTTATAACTTCACTTGGATAACTTTGGTATTTTCACAAAACCTCTTAAAGGGAAAGGTATTGTTATTATGCAGTATGAAGGTATATTCTACATCATATCAATACAATCAAAACGGTATCAGTTTGTTAATATTTATTAATGAAAAATTAATATTTAAAAATTAATTAAAAATAATTAATTTTTATTAATGAAATTCTAATCTCAAGTTTAGAACCTGGAAACATTTATACAAATGTAATTTTATCTACGTTCTGTTTTTCTAAGGATTTATAGTACCTACAGACTTATTCTGTGTAATCTGTGGGGGAAAAAAAAAAAAGTTTTAGGTTTTAGATTTCTTAGTCTTTCCTCTATTTCTAATAGAATCAAATTGAATTCTCCATGAAATTTTCCATATGGTGACCTTCTGGGACCTGCCTCTTCCTCAAATGGTCCTTGAGCTTCTACTGTCATGCATTTCAGTGAGGCCTGCTTGGATAAGGGACTGCTGGAAGACAAATATCTCAAAGTAAGTCGACCTGCTGAGCATGCCGACAAGAAAAAGACAGGAACAGGTTTTATAGTGACTGATCCTAGTTATCAACATTCATTTCCTCTGAAAGCTGTTACTGAACAAATCTGCTACCTGGGGGTAAAAACAGAGAGCACCATCTGTAATAATCCTATTAATGTATATGCTCAAAATAAAACCAAATAAAAGCAGAAGTGCCTATTTCATACTGTAAAATGACCAAAAGATAGACTGACTCTCGTGAGTCCTGATCCCAGTAACAATGAACTGAAAACCCAAAGCAGTCTCACAGAGTTACTCTTTGTGGTCTGATTAGAAATAGCAGCATTTCCAATTTAGAGTCCAAAGTCTCATGAGATGTATTAAAATTTTAAGACAGAAGACTTAAAAATCAGAAGAGTCCACTTTTAAATATAAGCAGTTCTCATGAAATAAAAAAACACTACAGAGATGCACTTTAGGGCCTGGAAGTATATGTGCACAGAGATGGAGGCTGAGAATAAGAAACTGTGGAAACCCATAAAAGACCGTGAGAATAAACGGTGAAACCTGAATGATCTCAGTGGCAAGCCATGTTGTTACAACACAGAACAACTAACATTCCTCTGTTGATTAGCTATATGCTGGATAACATAAAAATGGTAAAAATGAAGGGTAACATTGAGTCAGATCTTAAGAGCTCCTAAGGTAAATTAATAGAAACAGAAGAAAATGGTCCTGTTAGAAAGGACCAAATACAACTAAGGAAAAGGAGAAGGAGTAATTAGACCTGACTGCCATAAAGAATCACAGGTAAACAAATCTAATTACGTTGCACTTTTGCATATTGAGAGAAAAAAAAAATCATGTAACACCACCCAAATTTGTCACTCCCCCATGAAAAGCGGAAGAAAGGAAAATTTGGAAGGCAAGCAACTTTTCTGATACATACAAGAAAGTATTCATTTACTTCTTGGATTCTTTAAAGTTACCTGTTCAGCTGCAAGTATTGGTGACTTTTCATGAGGACTCTTCCAAACAAATTGGCTTCGATATTCAGAATTTCTGGGGAAAGTATTTAAACGTGAAATATTCATGCCTGCTTTCCTCTGAAGGACTCTGTGAAGCTGACAACATAAAATAGAAAAAAAAAAAAAAAACCACAACACTGATTGTTCTCTTTTCTACAATGTTTTGCAAGTCATATATCTTTCAATGCACACTTTCAAAACTATGGTTTGGATTTTGGCCTCATGAATTAAATTAATACAAAGTACATTTTCTCATTACAGCCAACAACCCCAAAAAGCCTATATATCATTGGCTAAATCCTTGTTTAACTGAAATCAATAGTGATGGCACCTGACAGACAAATTCCTATTGACCTAAGTGGAACCAAAATTTGGTCTCGAAAGTACTGTTCTCCCAACAGAAATGCTACAGTGTAGAATTTCAAAATACAGAACTAAGGAGAGAGTTAGACAAAAGAGGCTGGTCTATGTGTATTAAATTACTGTAAGTATCAGATTAGTAATTTTCATACTGGACAATTAAAAAACCCAAAAAACCTTTCCTCACCCCATTATCTATTTTTTCTAGTTCTTTTCTTGGAGATGAAAATGCTTCATTTTGATTTGTTGGAGCAGCAGAGGGTGATCTCTTCATGTTGTTTTCTGCAAGGGCAAGAGCTGTTTCACCCTCAGAATCTACCAAATATGACCGAACTTTTGGGGGAAGTCTGGGTCCTTCTGGCATTTCGTTTTTTTCCTGATTCACATCATTGTTGTTCTGGTCTGTGTGCAACTCTGCAGTCCCAAGAGCTTCAGGTTCACGTGGGTCATTCAAATCACAGTCTCCTGGCCATTCAAAGGACTTTGAAATCTGTGGATTATGGTAAGGTACCCTTCTCTTGGAAATGAAGTTTGGTTCTCTTGTGATTCCTGAAAAAGACATATTAGGTATAACAAAAAATGTTCTATTGAAGCCATATCACTCTATTACAAGAATAAACTGAAAATTTATCATGCAACCGATTATTAGAAAAAAATATTTTAGTATATTTGAGCAGTGACAGCCTATTAATTATGGGCACAGCTGTAAAATTCTGCCTTCTTCCCTATCTGTGAATGCCTTTCCTTTACATTAAAGAGAGATGGAAACATGGTGCTCCAGGACCATGCTGGATAAAACCTTATAAAGCAAATATGGCCACAGGACAATCTTTTGCAAATTGATTCAGGAAGCTGAACAACAAAATTAACACAGTCAGTGTAAAGAATGTGGTTAACACAGATACAGAATCAGTGATAAAGTATGCCACAAACACTTCTCATTACACAGGCACAATATACCGTGCTAAACAGGTTCTCACCAGCTGTGACAGACATTGACAGATCCCTTTCCATCTAATACAACTGTTATTTAAAACCATCTCAGATAACTGGTGACTTTTTGAACACAAAAATATTTCCCAAACTGTAAAAAGACTATGCAACAAACCCAGGTATCAAGTTATTTTAAAGAATTGCTGGCCTTTACACATGCAGATGAATATAAAAGTGTTCAACTGCAACGGAAGCATAAGTGAGGGTCCCTAACTGGTTGAAAGAAACACTTTCTAAGATAGAGAGAAACTCCTGTCTCATGAAAAAGCAATGTCGAAAGAGAGAAGAACCTACAGTGAAAGGCATAGAGAATGTCTGGATGTCTGACTACACATACAGGTGGTAGGAAATAATTCCAGTGGATACACACTGGAAAAGTAGCAGGAAGGAACTCAGAGCACCCGCAGCTGTTAACTTCTTGTGGTGATGTTCCAAGTAATTCTTAAAATTTCCAACTGTGTATTTCAACAGGAGAACCGTAAGCAAATTATCAGTAACCATCTGCAAGTCCCATGAGGTGTCAAGAACGACATTTGAAGATGGCCAGAAAGAGGCAGGAGTGAAAATGAATGCAAAGGTGTAGAAAAACTACACCAAGTACACACAAAACCACTGCTACAATATGAAGAGGGGGGAAAACTGCTGTATTGCCAACTCATTACATTATTTCAACTCTTGTAAACTCTGCAGTTTAGTTTGACTAGAAAAGAAGCATAGATTAGAATTTTAAAAATAAGTTAATGTGTCTGGAGGTTTGGGTGTTTGAGGATTTGTGGAAGTTACACTCTTCAACACAGGTACTCCTCCACAGGGCCATGTGCTATGTTAAAGAAATATATTTTGTAGTAATGGAAGAAAGCAGTAATATATATAAAGCATAATCTTTAATAAAATTAAATTATTTATTAAAATGTCTAGCATCTCAACCAAAACCAAACCCTACTCCCAGTGGTTGGTTCTTAATTACTAGACCATAATTTGGAACACTTATCATATTGTAGGAATGAATAAATTGAACTCTAATTACGCAGACTGCATAGTGCAGTCGCACTGAATTGCACCATTTTGTTAATCTGTTTTGTGCCACTACAATAATTCCTATTTTTTACTGCTCCTTTTCAAAGCACTGCAGTTGTCATCGCTCACCAGCTAACTCCTATTCCTCAACTCCCTACAGGCCTTTCAATGCAGACGTTATTCCCTTTGTCTTCTACTTCCCAACTCCACATTTTCCTACCATCACAATGCGTATAACCCCTGACTCCTAGACTACAGGATCACAAGCTATTCTGTTTAATGCTCTTTTTTTATTTCAGTAAGCTGTCCCTATAAGTCTTTGTAACAAACTTATTTTGTATCAAACTTTGCCCCAACTTAGTCTTCTCTTAAACAGGGAATTTTACTTACTGTTTCCACGCACCACAAGTAACCCAATGCCTCCTTCTACACACCCTGTATGCGTTAACACTGCATCTGTGCTTCATATTTGGGACTCACCTTATGGTGCATGTCAGAAACCACGTATTTTTCATGTTTTATACAAATAGCACTAACATTAAAAGAAAGTTTCAGTGTAGCCAGAAAGAATATGGCATTCAAAAACATACTATAAATGATGACCAGGAATATACTTTTAACTGCATGAAGCATACAAACTGCAAACACTACCAGTTACTGTGGTCATGCACTCAATCACAGCAAACCTCTCCAGACCTCCAACAGCCCAGGCTCAGCCTCACCGGAGCCGGCCTGGACATCTCCAGGGTTTGCAATCTTTCGGGGGCGCTTACCGAACTGATCCGACCGAAGTCCTGCCCACAAGGGTTTCTGCTGCTGGGCCGTGCTACACAACTCTGGGGTTTTCCATCTGAAGTTTCTCTTATATTCACTCACTCCCTGAAGCAAACAGAGAGGGGGCTGTCAAGTGCCCTGTTCAGATCCTGCTCCTCCGCTTCTGTTGGCAAGGAGATCTCCAAGGGGAGAAACACCAACAAGGCCGCTGCAGGACTCAACTAGGCTGGCAGGCTGCCCTGCATTTTCCAACCCACCCCCATGGAAAAGCAAGAACTGCTTGACTGCTCTGCAGAAAAAAGCAAGGATAACTTCATACACCAAAAAGTACGCAAAAAAAACTTATTTGTATCTTTAAGTGAGGTTTCAGGAAGAAAAACAACCTGAACCTTCTGTCACCCACGCGACTGAACCCTTTTCTGTCTTTATGAGCCAGCGCTCCTTAGCGCAAGGATCTTCCCTTTCCCCGTGGCACCCCATAACGGCTGTACC